AGTAACATATGGTCCGTCTTTCAAGTAATTATGTTGCCGCTCCTGTCAATTGCAAGAAAACGACAAAGGAGCATGAATTACCCCAAGCTTTCACCAATAAGTAAATGTAATAAGAGGGAAAACCGAAAATGATTTTTTGAGTTAAAAATAACCACAGATAATAACAGCAGTTATTACCTGTTCAGCCTTCAGCCAAAGGCGAGTCAATCTTCCAAGGTTTTTCCGGCACACCGTCTTGTCAACAGTTGCTCCTCTTCTTATACGTTCACGATTGTAGTGAGCAACATTTGTCCACCAATCAGCTTTGGATTTGACATAGCGGAGAATCATGTTCTCAATAGGAACAGGCAAACCCGGGACCTAATAAACAAATAGCCAAAAAAGCAACTGAATGACTTGTCTTACGCAAAACTCATTGTTGTGGAGAGGGGGAAAAGGATGGGAATAATACCTTCCAAGGAATATTTGCCTTCCAACAACGCCATGCTTCACTAAGATGCTGTAAGATGGTTCTTGCTTTATTTTGCTTGATCCCCTCTGCGGTAAATAACCACTATATTAGTCAAAAGCATTGGTTGAGTAACTGATGAAATAGAAGCATCCCAAAAGAGACGGACAAGCAACAATAGAAAAGTGTTACCTGGCATAGCATCAAGGACATCATGCATTACTGCAGCACGGAGTTCCAAATCGAAATGGCTTTCAACACGTTGCTTTGTGACAGTCTTGGCCACCCCCTTTGAATGGCGACCCTCAAATTGCCTTGCCAGTAGATTTCCTAACCAACGTTCCAAAAGAGGTACTATACCCCGAAGAAAGAATAACCACACCCTCCACATAGGTGCCCAGAAACCACAACCAGGACCTTTTCCAACTGGCCCGGTATTAAATCGATAATAGATCAAATGTTTCAGATCCTTGCACATCCGAATCTGCCTCATAAGCCTGTACTTGTAACGATACATACCCGTCAACTGACCAACATGCGAGAAAATGTATTGCAAGCCATCTGCCAGCTGAAACGCATCAACATTTCCCAGACGAAACTGGACATTGGCATCAACAACAAGCTTTGTCAAACGCAGAATTTCACGACAAAGGTGGAAAGCATTTCCAAACCGCGATTTCTTACGCTCCTTGGTAGTTAGTGTCTTAACAGGCTTCAAATTAAAATTGTAATCAAGATGAAGATAGTTCAGGTTCTTCCTATGGATCAAGAGATTCAGCATATTATATCCCTGCTTACAAACTTGAAGACCAGCCTCTGCCCAATCAAGTTCTGTGGTTTGGAAAAATTTTGTGGCTTGAAGTGAGCGAAAGAGGTGCTTCTTCTTCTGGGCCTTGGGGGGTCTGTGATGCAACTCGTTCAATACAAAACATTTCAACAACTTCTGATAACTGACGCGAACCTTGACAGGATATGATGGAGGACTGGAGGAAACAAAATAGATAGTTAATACATTTTAAGTATTAAGGATTAACTTACCATGACAAACAAGATAAGCAAAAGAAAAGATGAAATCATACCAGTGCTCCTTAAACCAATCAGAAACAAGGGGAATATCTTCAGCACGTCTTGTTCGACCAGATCTCATGTTAAATGGGCGTGGGGCAAACAATAGGGAGATACCAGCAGCAGTAGTATCAGTATAGATTGGAGTCTCTGTCAGCAACGGTTCCACACCCTCAGGTAAGGCGAAATCATCGTCGTCGTCGTCATCAGAAACTTTCTTCTCTCTTCGGTCCTTGGTGACTATGGGATGTATCAGCGGATCATAATAAAAAGCAGGTAGATCAGGATCCTCTGTTTTTATGTACATGATCATCGGAGTGTGATATATGCCAAGCCTGACCTTTCTTGGCCTGTTGTTATAGAGATGAGGGAAGGCAATTCTGTACTCTGTCCTAAGTGGTGACCTGATGATCAATTTGTTGATATCATTGAACTCGTTCCAGTCTTCATCTCCTTTCTCCATGTCACGATATAAAGGTTCGAACTTTGGACCACCTGCAGAATAAAAGCTTCTTAGTGAAGAGAATCTACCAACGGATCAACACGTGCCGTGAAAAATAATTACCCTCTCTAATCCAGGAAAAAGGGATAGAACAATAGATATTAGAAGGAAACCGTGTTCAAATGTGACACATTACCTATTTATTACCTAAATTAGAAGAGGAAAGCCAAATATGCAGGGCTATCACGGAAATACCCCACCAAATAATGAACATATGGGAGAACTCAGAATTATCATAATTTTTAGGTTCCTGAACTACCAATCACACAGGTATACCTTCTGGATAAGGTTATGCAGGAAATAGGCAGAACAAAGAAAATCTAGAATTCCATCAGAGAATAATCTTTCAGCAAGGCAGAGCTAAAGCAGTTCAGACCACCAGCATTTCCTCGGCAGACAAATTAGCTAAGAACTCAGAAGATAGAAAAAAGAGAACTAAGGACTAGTTGAGAATATTTCTTACCAGGTATGCACATGTTCAATGCTTTAGCAGTGAAAAAGGACTCCATATCAAACAAGTAGAAGTAATTGCGATCAGTCAGGTCTGAAAGAAGCTGTCCAGCCAGTCGGTGAAGTGTTGCCATTATAGGGAGGGACAAATGCCACCTGCGGTAACTAGGACCATTAATAAGCTTTGTTTTCACCAGTGGCTTATGGTCATAAAACCAGTTATAAACCGCAGAATCCTCTTCTTCATCCAACTCCAACTGGATTGGCTCCAAAGGATCAACATCCAAAAGATTATCAGCATAATCTAACGGTGGTTCCTCATCGTCAAAGGGAGGAAAACGCATTCTCTTGAAATGTCGCCGGTCTCTCTTCTCCCTTCTCATCATGATCCACATTGTGCCCCACTGGAATATTTTATAATTATGAATCAGTCAAACCATATATAACTCAGTGTAGTTGGAAACAAAACCAAAGCAAAGCGAAGTTGGCATACCTGAGCCAGATATATAGGTTCAACAACCCATGGAATCTCGTTAACGAATGTAATAGCACCAGTAATATGGTACAGGATTTTTACATCTCGAACCTATTAAATAAAAAAGTATTTTAGAACAAACTGAAGATTTGACTAGTAATAAGACAAAGCACAGTCAGAATAGAATAATCAAAAAGGCTATAAGTAGTACCTGCTCCCACGGCATAGGCATGTTCTCAAGGAGTTTGTAAACAGCATGCGGTACAAATTTAAGAGCTCCGAGATACACACGTTTATCATGACGATATTTTTTTGAAGACATATCCCCATGGTCCCTGTAATATGTATATGCTCAATGAGCAAACCAGAGCAGAAGTACAACAAAATCACATATTTATAAAGCTAAGGAAACATTATCACCCAAATCATGATTTATTCTTTTTACTGGTTCGCCAGAGTTACGATTTCCAAGTACAAGTGATGTTGAGACAGTGGAAGAAAGCAGTTTTTCTATGCTGACATCAGAACTTCAAGGAGATCAAAGATATAGAGCAAAAGAACTTGAATTGAAGAGCTACACATTCTGAGATAAGACGTTCTTTTTTCTTTCATTTCTCTTCTTAATAATATTTGACAGTCCCCGTCCCTGCATTATTACAAGGTTCTACATTCCAGGTGTTCATTAAATTCAATTGCGCACATATTGTAACAACAAAGTTAGTCATGAGGCCCCACCAAATATCAGAACTCAAAAAACCACATTGTAAATGCCAATTTACCACTACTTTCATATACCCACTATATAAACAAAGAAGAACCTCAATTAGAAGCATCAAAGCTCAAGTTAATTGTGAAAATGTACGCCACTTCCCAAACTAGTGCTCTCTTACACAACCAACTACTGTTCCCCGTAAAAAAAAAGCACTTAGATTCCACGTAACAAAACCCTTGGTTTACTCCCTAACTTCCCCAAACCTACAGCTTCGACAATTTCACTACAGGTATTTCTTACAAAGCTCACACTCTAATGCTATCAATAAACTAAACAAAAGAAAAAACTACAAATAGATTTGGAGCAATTCTAACAAAACATGTACTGTAATCTGAAAAAACCTCAGTCATACACAATTGCAAGAAAATTCCCAGCCTATTACCTAATTAATTAAACCACAACGTCTCTCCTAAATACATTAACATGATCTCGAAATCTGATAATACACACCAACTAATGCATTTATTCAAATTACCTAAAAGCTAAACTAAACCCAACAAATAGAATACCTGCATTTTATGATGTTATACACCTAAAAATGCACAATTTAAGAATTGCAAAGAATAAATACCTAATAATCTTCCGAACATGTTCCGGAGGCATGTCCTCCTTTTGCGTCTCCACAAATCCAAACTTCCGCTTATCACTATACCGCTTAGAGTTAAGCTGCATCCATTTCCTAGCTTTCTCTTCAAGCTGAGCTTCAGTCGGCAAAACAGTATAAGATGGAGGTGGTAAAGGCGGTCCAGCACCACTAGCTCCTCCACCACTTGTTCCAGGAGGCATCATAGGCTGTACTGAACTCGTACCAGGTGGCGGAGGCATCATAGGTGGCTGCATCATCGACGGCGGCGGCGGTGGTCCTCCGCTAGTACCTGGTGGTGCTATGTTACTATTGTTCCACATATCTTGTCCGTTTCCACTCCACATAACTTCGTTAGAAGTCAAAATCTCAACCTACATAAGAGCGAAGAAGTACAAAAACCCTAACTGAACTACAAAACCTCGATAATCGTTTGGACGTAAATGTCTCCAGAGATTTGCGAATTGAATTGTCACCGGAGACCGACGGTGGTCCTGTGGCCGTGAAAAATGGATTCACGGAGGAGGCGACGGAGCGGTAGTAGAAGTGAAGTAGAGCAAAACTTGCTATAGGGCTTGGGTTGTGGGGTTTATAAAAAATCAGTGAAAGACCGACTCGAACAAATGTGTTGATGGGTGCGGGCGGGCCTGCGGGATACCGATTCCGAGTGTCGATTAAAACCTAAATTAAGCTAATTAAATTATGATTTTACGTCTGCCTTAAATTTAAATGTTATAAATTATTTAATAAATAAAATATTTATTGATAAAAATATTTTAAAGTTTTTTCACCTTCCACATTCATTGCAAGCTAAGAGTACTTTTAATGAAATTATACACGAATATAGGAAGTAAGACGTTGAATTAGTTATTAATTTAATAAATACATAATTAATATATTTATAAAGAAATTAGACAGTATAACCCTCGAACCCACTAAAAACCAACATTCTAAATTCTTTTTTTGACCACTCAATGGTGCGTGAACGACAAACGCCACAGTAACTTTTTCACGAATGCCACGTAGGAAATGATATCTTAAAAATAGGTTATTGCTTTCTCTTTCAAACATTTCTTTCTTTTTCCTTTTCAACTAGACCTTTGTACTCTCCATTCCCGATTTACATCGTTTATGACCGCAATTTTTTTTGATTTTGTGAAGTGTTTGAGTTCGCATTTCACTCCATAGTTGTAAGTTTGTTGACTGATTTTCATTCTCTTTGTTTTGCAGTTGTGGCTTTTATGTTTCATTTTTAATTTGATGTTTTGAATTCACGTTAGGGTTTAGTACTATTACAGAGGTCGTGATGTGATTTTAGGAAGGATTTTGATTTTTTACATGCCTAATAACAATTTGTAAAAGTATTATGTATTCAATGACATTTGTCTTGAATATCTGTTGAACCTAGGGTTTTTTCGTATTTGTCATTTTTTATTTATTTTTTATCAATTGCGTTGAATTTCTTTCTTGTTAGTGGATTATATCATATTATTATAAAGGATTTTGTTGTATTCCATAAAGAATTAGTTTTAAATTAGATTTTTCTTGTCGATTAGGGCTTTTTGTAAATTAGGATTTTTATATATAGGGATTTTTTGTCATTTAGGATCTTTTGTCAATCATTTGAATGTATTTATATAATTCTGCAGGCATGGTAGGAATATGGCTTCAACAATTATTACACTTCAATTGCATTATGATGGTTGTTTTTATTTGAGCCTGAACTCAGGTATGCTAATGAAATTTCTGATCTTGAAAAACTCAGAATCGATATGGATAAACTTCATACTATGTTTTTTTCATAAATTAGCGAGAGAATTGAGAGTTGACAAAGTTGAGACATTTGGGTGTAAAGTTAACAAAAGAGGTGGTTTTTATATGTTGAAAAGTGATGTTGATATGTTGAGATTTATTAACAACTTAAAGAGTGGGGACGTAGTTGATGTGTACATATATGGTACATCAAATTAGTACTCCTGTTATTGTTGAGGATCCTACTGAGGTGCAAATAGCCAAATTGCTTACTCCCAAAAAAGGTAAACCCCCCCCCCACGTACTATTATAAATGTTAAGACTGATATGTCTTCCCTCAACTATTTGATAAAAATGATATAAATATAAAAGATCAGCAACCTAGGTAAAGAAGGATAAGAATAAGGAGATTGCTGCTCCTGAGGATTCTTTATAGGACTTAGATAAAGATGTAGGTCAAGGTCAAGATAATGACTTTCTTCTTATCACCTTCAAATAACTGATGAATCTGATGTACATGTAGATGTTGAACAATCTGATTCTAAGTCACTTTATGATGTTGATGAGAACATTGATGACTTAAGTGACTTAAATATTGAGTTTGTAGAAGTTAGGCAGTCAAATATTTAAGAACAAGTTAATTAAAAAATACTACTAGAATAAATGTAGATGAGATACTTTATAGTCCTGTAGATATCGATGCTGATTTTGAATATATTTATAAGAATAAGAGGGGAAGATATGAAGGAAAATTGGGTATGGATGACCTGTATTTTAATAGCTCAAATCCTGGTAGTGATATTTATGAAAATGAAGGGGATCCAGTTGATTCTGATGAGGTTGTAGATCCACCACTTAGGATTTCAAGTATAAAAGTTTATTTTGACCCAATTGCAAAAAAAAAAATTAGTTGTATATGATTTTTGTGAATAATGTTCAGTTTAGGAAAGCACTGCGACTTATTTCATTCAGAAGGATGTGAACATTAAACTTAAACCTAATGAGAAGGGTTGTCTTTGACATATTCTTGAAAGTATTGAGGGTAAAACTATAAATTTTATTGTTAAGACATATTTTCTTGTTCACAAGTGTTTCAACATAACAAGAAACAAGTTGTGTACTCCAACCTGAATTTGTAAGACTTACAAAGACAGAAACATGAGCGAGCCTAGCATCAAACTAAATTAGATTCAAGGCTTGGTATAAAAGGATTATGGATTGTATGTTTGTAAAACAAGTTGTAGAAGAGCAAAAATGAAAGTAATGAATGAGCATATGGGTGAAGTCTACAGATCCACGAATTACTGTGGTTGTTAAGAAATCCAAGAATACAATTCCTGGAAAAGAGGTATTCCAAGGGATTTATATTTTTCTTGGAGCATTAAAAAGTGATTGGATGGAGGGGTTAATTTTGATGGTGCATTCTTGAAAAGTGTATATAAAGGTGAATTGTTGTCTTGCATTTCCAAAGATGGAAATAATCAGATGTATCTTGTAGCATGAGCAATAGTAATAAAGAATCTAAGGACACATGATCTTAATTTATTAAGTGCATCAAACATGATTTAGAACTGACACAAACTGAAGGTGAAGTTCTGACAATTATGCCTGATATGCAGAAGGTATGAGAACACCTTGTAGTCTTTTTCTTTACTTTGCTATAGCAATTTCTATGTTACACTTATATCCCTATTGTTTTTATTTGGCATGCCTTTTTTCTTTGATAGGGTCTTAACCTAGCACTTGTTGATTTATTGTCATATTGTGAGATTAAATTGTGTGCTAGACATGTATGGACCAACTGAAAGAAGATATGGAGTGGTGAAGAAAGGAGGAAAAATTTTGGCAGGTTGCCAGGGCTTCATTCGAAGTTTATTTACAATCAAAACTTGATGAACTGAGTTCGTTGGGAGAAGGTATTATGGAAACTTTGTTAAAGTATAATAAAAGTGCATGGCATAAGACATTTTTGCAAGGATCATAGTAAGTGTAACATAGTTGAGAATAACACCTATGAGACATTCAATAGTTGAATCTTGGCAGCTATATTCAAATCAATCATCACAATGTTAGAGGAAATTAGAGCCAAAGTCATGAATAGGATGACTCAAATGAGGGAGTTTTCTGAAAAATGAATAATTGATGTGTCACCTGTGGCTATGCAAATTCTTAGTGATAATGCTAAACATGTAACCACATGTGAGATTAAATTTAATGGAGATATGACTATGAGATTCTGCATCCACCATATAAACATGTTGTTAATCTCAAGAGAAAAGTGTGTAGTTGTAATCATGACAACTGAAGGGGAAACCTTGTGCATATACAATTACTGCAATGCATAACAAGGATCTAGATGTTGAGTCATTTGTTGATCACCGATACAACAAGGAAACATATTTGAAGGCCTGTAGGCCTACAATAAGTTCATTCAACCTATGACAAATATGAAGATGTGGTCCAAGAGTACAAGACCATCCATTGAGCCACCTGAAATCACTCCTATGCCACGAAGACCAAGGAAAAAAAAGACTAAAGATAGTGATGAGCCTAATAAGAAGAAGTTTTGGAAAGACTACAAGGAAGGGGAGAAAATGAAATGTTCTTTGTGTAAAAATTTTGGACATAACAAGAAAGGATGTCCAATTGCTGTAAGTTTTGCTTTAACTTCTTCAACTTTGTTAATTAAATTTATTTTTATCAATATTTCTTAATTCAGTTTGACAAAAATTTGTATTTAGAAAAATGGATATACTACTGGAGGTGGTTATACTGGTGATGCTACTGCAACTTCTATAGGTGTAAGTGGCGGTGTAACTGGTGGTGCTAGAGGTGATAGTAATGGTGCTACAGGTGACAATGGTGGTGCAACTACTTCAGCAACTTCTACAGGTGTAACTGGTGGAAGTGGTGGTACAACTACTAAAAGACCAGCCACTACTTCAACAGCTTATGAAGGTGCAACTACTGCTACAACAACTGCTAGCAGAAGTGCAAATGTTGCTTAACCAACAAGTCTATTTAGTACTCAGCAGTCAACTACTAGTGTTATTGGCTTAAAGAAGAGTAGCAAAACTAAAAGAGGTGGTGAAAATCCCAGATACAAGAGGCCAAGAATAGAGAAGCCAACAACAACTGTTTTGTTGTGCTATTTGGAGCAAATGATGATGTGATCAAGAGGGTAAGTATTATCATTTAAGGACCTATAGTTTGATTCTATAGAATCTCTAACTAATATCAGTATTACCTTGTAACAGTCTGGAACTATTGATAGAGAGTTACATTCTACACTATTGAAGAGTTCAGTGCTTACCAATATCGATCTTGATTACAAACCCAATGGACTAAGGTGGAAGGGTGGAACTACAATTACTCAAAGGAAACTACAAGAACAAAGTTACAAATGAGCCGCTCAGTCCACACCAAGCACTCAATACACATAATGTTTCGTAGAAAAGACTCATGTTTTGCCTAGTTAAATTCTCAATTGTCTATGATACTTTCCACTATCAACTTAATTTTCAATTGTTGCGTTAACTTGTTACGACAAACAAGTTATTTTTGCTTAAGAATTTGCTATGATAATTATAAGTCTTAATGTGGATACTTTCATAGATTTTGTTACATTATCATAGTACTTAGATAAATAAATCATTGATACATCTCAAATACAAAATATAGAAACCAAATGACAAATAATCACAACAGTACTGATATCAATACTAATGCTCAATCTCCCATGTCTTTCATGCCTTCCATGATCAACATTTGGCGATTGATTCTTCATGTAGTATTGTTCTTGGTATATAGGATCAACTATATCAGCCTATCAAAAAAATTCACATTCATTACCATTTGAGTATTTTTGACAGCCCCAAAACATTCTTCTTGACTTTGTTGATGGTCTTGACGTCTTAAGTTCATCATGAAGCCCATAATAGCAAAAACGAACAATCATTGTGAAGAACGAAAAAATTAACAAGTAAGAAAAATGCGAGAAAAATAAAATATAGACCGCGCCTGATCGATCGTGGAGAAGAAGAAGAAATTCGGAGTAAAGAATTTTGGAGAGAGATAAAAGAGTGTGAAAGAGAAGAAACTTTGGATATTTGAAGAAGAAATTAGGGGAATTTTGAGGAAGATGGGCAAAAGTGACCGTTATAGATCTTTTAAAAGCATATTACGCTCCTAAAATGGGTGTTATTCACGCACTTGAACTACTTTTGCCAAATGAGATGACAGGTCAAAAAAGTGTTTAAAATATTGGGTTTCAATAGATTCGAGGGTTTAGTTAGAAAAGTCGGGAGTATGAGGGAAGGTGACAAAAAGTGACAAGTACAAGGGTCTTTGAGACCGTTCCAATTCATATTAATATTGCTTAATAGATCAACCACAATAATCTTATAACTTATACTTTTTAAGAGAAAAATTGAAATAAATTTGAAGTACGATCAAAATTATTGCAACAATGACAAACTTGGGCAGGACCTATTTGTAACACTTCAAACTTCCAAAAAGGGCTAAAAGGGGAAATTTAGGCAAGTCCAAAAATTCAAAATGGACCATGGACCCTTCATGGCATCCTAGACGGTTCGTGTAGGGGACCACGTTCCGTTAATGATGTCGTGAGTGACTTGGACACCACAGACGACTCGTGGTGACTTGGATGACCCATCTAGGGATCTGTACAAGTCACCCAGTCATGGAGGTTGCACCTAAGTTGTAACTCATTGGCCTTAGAAAGAGCTAAATTTAGAAAAAACTAATTTGAAAAGAGTTAGTTGAGATTTGTTCTGAGCTTAAGTTGTGAGTTTTGGGTCAACTCCAAACGACCATAACTTTCACTATAAAATGAGCTAGATGGCTCATAACATGTCAAATCAAAGGTCTTTGAATCCTCTTTCCAATGCCATCGAGTTTGCTAAATTCTGAGTTCGGATGGATAGATATGTCCATTTGAGTTAAGTCTGTCTCATTAAAAAATGTTTGCCCGAATGAATAAGGGGTATTTTAGACTTCTTCTTATCCCATATTCTTTAAACGTTTTTACTAATATTTTAGGGGTCTAAGGTCACAATCCTAAAATAGGCTTAAGATTTTGAGAGGAGTTTAAAAAGATTAAAAAGGAGAGGTTCAAGGAGTTCGTCAAGATTCTTGAGATTTGTCGAGGAATTTCGCCAAAGGGTTGATTCCTAATAGGTATGTAAGCTTCCACGATGATGAGTTCATTCACCCACACGCTAATAATGATTTATATTATCGAGTTCATCATAAAGATTGAAAAAATTGAGTTTTTGATGAGTTTCTTGGAGTTAGTGTTTCATTCTTTGCTATGAGGTTTCATTGAGTTCTTGTGATGTGGTCTTGTGTTTGAGTATTGTTCTTGAGTAATTTAGAGTGGATTTCGTTGTAATTATGTTGTGTCTAAGAATCCAAATGAGTTTGAGGAAATCGTTCGAATTCCAGGGGAGTTAAACATGAATTTGAAGCAAGAAAATTGTCAAAACCTAGGTATATATAGGGATGGGACGTCGTGCCACTCAGTGCACTCCAAACTGTTAACAATGACTTTATAAGATCATTTTACTTAGCAGGCGTTTGACCATGTGATACCATATTACCATATGAAATCGTGAGATGAAATTGAGATGAAATTGACGTTTGGTCATGCGATACTATATCACGATATGAAATAGTGAGATGGAATCAACATTTGGACATGCGATTTTATTCCATCTCATGATTTCATATCATGAGATGAGATTTCATGTTCTCCAAAAATCATGATATGAGAATTCCATATCATTATTTGAAAATTTTTAAATACAAATATTGATCCACAAAATTTTATATGTTAAAACAACTCACATTTATAGTTTACCAACCATTTATTTCATATGTAAATAAAATTTATAATCACATTATTATTTTTTAAAATTTATTATTTTCACCACCATTTATTCACTTTTAACTCACACCCGTCGATTATTGAGTAATAAATTTCTTCTCTTCATTGACTCCAATACCTAATTCATTATTCCTACAGTTGTATATTTTTTTCCTAATACTACAGAAACAATTTTCTCAACGTGTGTTGTATTTTTTTGAGAACAAGAAGAGAATATTGTTCTTAATTTAATGTTACAACATATTATCAATTTATCTTACATTAAGGATCATACACAACAGAATATAAAATATAATTTGAAAAGTAAGTATTTTCAAACATGAGAAAAAAAATTATTGTTTTTTTTTATGCATCAAAAGTGACGAGCAAAAAAGAAAATCTATTTTTGCACTAATAAAGTGACAGTACACTACAATTTAAATCTGCAAATAAGGATACGGCAATAGTGTAACTATTTGAACTCTTCAACAACACACAACTATTGGGTCTCTTCTTAGTTGAACTCTGCTATCTCAAATACCCGTGATGTTTCATCAATAGAGACAGAAACAAGGTACTCCCCGTTGGACGATGCAGCTAGACACTGAATAGCATCAGCATGTCCGCTAAAGGTCCTGACACATTCTCCAGAACGACTGTCCCATACCCGCACTTTACCATCAACACAACCTGTTGCCACATATCTATATTGCCCCAACCACGATAAGCATGTCACGCCATCCTAAACAAAGCGTTATCAGCATATATCAAGCCAATGAAGAAACTGGGGTTTACACTATAGAACTTTCTTGAAATAACAGAGTATTTAAAGAAGCAAGTGCTTGTTCAAGCAAGTTCATACCGGATGTTCACATGTGGAGCGAGGTAAGGACTGTTGTAAGTCCCAAATAATAAGCTTATTATCCATGCCTCCAGTTGCAGCCCAAGGTGCGCTGGAAGTCATTTCAGATCACCAATATTAATTTAGCAAAACAGAAATAATTACTAGTATAGAAATAAGTATTCCAGGAAGGGATTATCAATCAAGATCGAAGGTGGGAGTGACCGATGAGGGAAGCGAGACTGGGATAGTTCGGACATGCTTTAGTGAAGAGATGTGTGAGGTCGGCTATGGTGGGTCCGATGAGAGGTAGTGGTAGACCAAAGAAGTACCGTACAGATGAGATAAGACATGACATGACTCACTTGCACCTTAAAGAGGACATGACTCTATAGGAGATTATATATTTTGTTGTTGTTACTATTCTTTTCAATATTATTTTCAACATTGACTTCTTTTCTAGGGTATTCCTTTCCATGCCAGATTTGATATGCTTTGAGCCAAATTTCTATCAAACATGACATCTACCTTCACAAGGTAGGGATAAGGTTGTGTATACTTCACCCTCCCCAGACCCACTTGTAAGATTACATTGGGTATGTTGTTATTATTATTTTTGTTGATCTAATGTTATCATGGACCTGGACTATGTCCACATAACTACTCTCTTCTTTAAAACCATCTTCAGGCTTGCTGACAACATTTGGTTCCTCTTCAGGCTATTTTGCTATAGGACAGTAAAAAATTCAATGGTCAAGGCACATTCACATATTTGCGGTTTAATTGTCGCACAACTTTTTCCAATCCTTGTTCAGATAAAAGGAATTCAAAGGGTCAAAGTACAAGGAAAGATAGAAAGATGTCAGGAGTAGACAAAACCTTGCTGAAAAGCTGGCACATTCTATCGAATCTGTATGAGCACTCAGAGAAGTGACAACCTGACAGAGAAAATTTTAATCGGCGATCAGACAAACAGCTTCCAAGGTCTGGAAACATAAATTACATAAAAACCATTGTGGAAAAAGAAGGGCAAATTATCATCTATCGAGGATTCTGACCTTTCCAGTAATTATATTCACAATGTGAGCAGAGCCATCCTTTGAGCCTGTGAGAGCCAGAGTAGAATCCGAGCTGATTGACAAGCATGTCAGTCCTTCCGTGTGATACGGATGACCTTGCAACAATAAAGATATTTTAAATTAACAAAAAACGATAACAAGGTCAGCTTCTCACAAATCATGTACTAATCTAAAGAAGTATTTTCTCTAATAAAAGACCAGCGTAGTGACAACAAATCTCGCCACTGATAAGGGTACTGACATTATTTCATGGAATGGAAGTACAGAGAGACAGCTCAACATAGCATAATGAAGGGAATGAGACAAGTAACACATTGATCAGCATCCATTAAGGTCCTTGATGATGAAAGAAAAGAGATGCTAACTTAGCAATATACTAACATGTGCTTCAATCCATAATTTTTATCCAGTATTTTGTATCTCAGCCACATCCCCCAATAGGAAAATATTCTATTTACGACTGCCAGAAGCCTTCGACCCTTTTTTGTAAGTGCCAGAAGGCCTTCAATCTGTAGGCACCATACCTTTGTGGTGTGTCGGAGGAGGGGGAGGGGGAGGGGAAGAGGGGGGAGGACAGGGAGGGGATGACACCTTTGCTTTTCACCTAATTTTAGAATGCAAAACAAACAAAGATATTAGCAGCCAGAAACCAAAAGCCTCACCTCTTACCACATGTATACTTTGGGCACTCTTAGGATCCCATATCCTCAGTGTCGCATCATCAGACCCAGTACAAATTAATTTACCTGAGAAAGCATATATAAGAAAAATAACAGTTCTACTCAAACGGAGGAAAACACTAGAAATTTTACAAGACAAACAAGGATGTACCATCTGGAGTGAAATCACCACAGGTTACACTACCAGCATGACCTAAAAACGTGTTCATGAAAGCACTGGTATCAGCATTCCACATCCAAACAGAAGAATCCTCTGAACCTGCCAACACCACGTGTCCTCTTGGATGCCACCTGACCCACTGAGCAACTTCACAGTTCATGATTGATCTCAAATTGATACAGAAAATTGGAATTTTTTACGCATGAGAAAATGTTTCACCTCAATTCCCTTTTCAGGACCTTCAAGTGTGCCCTTCAGACCACCTGAAGTTATGTCCCATACTCTTATATTCCCATCAAGGCTCCCAGAAGCAAGTAACTGACCATCAGAACTAAAAGCCAAACTTGATACAGAATCTGTGTGACCTGCACCATATCTCAAAGAGTTCAAATTAAAAGGTATATGAATAAGACTTATCTAATCAGTGATACCAAATTGTTAGTCACGACTCAATTACCTTGCAACTCAAAAGCAAAATCACCTTGACCAATTTTCCACATAAATCCTCTATCATCTCCACCACCTGTTACCACCAAACTGGCATCTGTTGGGCTGCAGGTAACAGTGTATAGTTCACCTATAAAGAGGGAACGGTTAAATTATAAGGAAAACAGTAAGCACACCTACATACAAACTAATTATAGACTATACCCAAACAGGAAGCATTGACATTAATTAACTCACTGCTACAACTTACTATTAACTACAACACCCATGTAAAACAAATTTATACCTCCATATTTTGTGACCATTGTGTCAATGAGGTAAGTAAAACCATCTTGTCAGAAGTATTTTTTTAATAAGGTAAACAGTTAAGGTGATGTGTGGGAAAGACCTGTACACAATACCAAAACGAGGACCAACATCTGATGCAAAATCTTGCCTATATTTTCAGATTAAGTTCTCATCAGAATATGAAAAGCTACTGCAGTTAAGCTATAATCATATCATATTTTGTTCCTTTTCATGTTTTGATCACGTATTTTGTTCACTTCCATTTAAAAATATGTTGTTTTAAAAAAAAAATATAAGTCCCCAGACGAAATCATGTTGATTAGTTGGCTATAAACCTGATCCTAATTTTTATTAATTTGGAAAAAGTTGAATCTTGTCCTCCGAGAACAATCTCGTTCCATGAAAGGCCAAGATTAATATAGCCCATTTCCCAATTTTATATTCCATGCATGAAACTACTTCGGTATTTAGTTTTGGAATCTGGTGTCTAGTGAGAACAATCTCGTTCCAAGAAAGGCCAATGTTAACTAACATAGTCCATTTCCGATTTCATATTCCGCGCATAAAACTTGTTTTGTATTATGCTTTAAAATCTGGTTTCTAGTTTCTTCTACTATTACACCATGATCCATATATGTCTTTAGCAATACACTCCCTATATCCCAATTTGTGTGATTTTTTAAACAGGGCACAACGTTTATAAAGGAAAGAAAGACGTCTGAAATTTGTAGTCTAAAATAAGCCGTGGATACTTGTGTGGTCAAATTATCCCATTATGGATAAAAGAGGAAGTTTAGGGTTAAATTGTTTCTAAATATAGAAAAATATCACTCTCTTTTGGGACAGAGAGTAGTCTGTATGCTCCACCATGACCACTTTTTTTTTCTTTCACCATGAACATTTGCCTGTTGGACAAATTAGCTTTGCTTATTTGACTGAAGATTCAACAATGCTTATTCCAATGAAAAATTAAATATAAGTCCCTCATCTAAAGTACCATAATCAAAAGAAATATCAACTCTCAGCATTGTCCAGACTAAAGGTAGAGGCGGGTCCAAGATTTGAACTTTATGGTTTTAAATGACATTGAACTCATTTACTATTTGTATTACTAGATAAAGAGTTTAATACTTGTCCAATTCAGTATATTTCTTATAACACATATACAGGGTTCAAAGCTACTAAGTTCGAGGAACTTGTAGCTTCTGCTATGCATCCACCTCCACGATAAAGGCAAAGCTCCCCCTATTTAGTAGCTAAAAAACCTGGCAGTAACACACACAAAATGGCCAGGCTTTCTTCATTCATGCCTAAAATTGTGAACCCAAGATACACCAGGCAAACTCCTGTTTTAAGCTACACCAGAATTAAGATGGAAGTTGCAACAGAATAGTATATCGATGTTCATCATTCAATATCAAATTAAGTTAAAATAATATAAAAGAAGTACAATACCAGTGTGGCCCGTGAACGTATGAAGGGAATCATCAGCTTCATCTGAAACCCATTATCCCAAATATCCATATCAGTATACTAATTAAACAAACAAGTTTTAACCTTAAACCCCCCACCCCAAAAAAATAAATCACCCAACCACAAAATAAGTAACCCAAAGTACAAACCGAAAACTACAGCAATAATTAAATCTTGCAAAGTCTGTAGTTGCAGTAAAATACAGTAGCAATATGAGTAACCAAGATATAATACATAAACAAACACTCAAATTTGGTCTCAGGTGACATGTAAACATTCCAATTTTGAGCATACACATCTAGATACCTCAACTCTTCCTCACTATTTTAAGTTAAACATTCAAACTTACGAAATGCTCATCTAAACACCTCCAAAATTATGTGTCACATCAGTGTTCAGGTGTCCATAAGACACAATTGGAGTGTTTAGTTGCCGTTGAGATAGAAAGCTAAAAGTTTTTTTTAAAAGTTTCTACAAGTAACTGAGCCAGACCTAGTTACCTATGAATTCTCCTCCTCCTTGTTCATCTTCTTCATCATCATCATCAGCATCAACAAGCTCTGCAACCATAAATCAAAGATATTCTCTAATTTTGTAATTGGACACAAATCTAACTTCAAATAAGCAATTAATAGGATTTTGGAGAGAAAAGATTGGATTTTTTTTCTACCTTCTTCATCAACATTAATTTCTTCAATGATATCACTATCCTCTAAGAAGACCTCATCTTCGTGTTCATCGTCTTCGTGGTGGGGTGATGGAGCGTTCATGATTATCCTCAAAACGTTGTCGTATGTATGTTAACGGCAGCAATTGCGGCGGCGCGGCAGAAGAAAACCGGTAGGTGGCTGGAAATTGGGAGGGTTTAAGGAGGGTATTAATATTCTAAAATTTTAATTTTTTAAAAATGTTAAATCTTTTATCTAATTTTTATATGGGTAAGTTATATATATTTAAAATTTAGGAAAAAATATATAAATTAATACATTTTAAAAAATAATTAATAATTTTAGCGATATTTTTTATTTATTATCATTGATAGTAATACTGTGATAAATCTATAATATGTATTAAAAGTGAATTATATAGTCAATATATTTGGATTATAATTGTTTTTGAAACATATTATGTTTGTTTGGTAAAAAATTGTCACATTGTATTATAAGTGTATTAAAATGTATATAAATGTATTATTCATCATTAAAATTTATATTATATGTAAATAATAAATTATTTTTTGTAATATATATTAAATTAGTATTATAAATAAATTAAAAGTAGTCGATTGAAAAAAATATTATTAATATAAATAACAAATATTTTTTTATCTTAGTATATTTATATAAGTTTTCCCATGCACAAGAAAATACTACATCACATGGATTAAAACATATAATTTTAAAAAAAAATTATACAAAATATATTATATATTATAATTTTTTATATATTAATATGATAGAAAAATAGGTAGTGTGTTAGTAAACAGTAGCATATAATCGTCGAGTTTTTAGTATTAAGCCATTTTAAAGACAAAATTAATTTTGCTAATCATGAAATTAACATTTAGTTTAAAGTAAAAAAGCCCTTGGGTTCAATTTCTCTAAGATTCCATTAATGGCGGTCACTCGAGCCTTCAACATCAACACAGCTCGCAACTCGTCGAGCTTAGTCTCATGGATTCCGGTAATCAACTTACTCTCAATCGAATCGAACTTATCGAAGTCATTGTTAACTGACAAAATTATTCATTCTTATTTTTTTACAGACCGGTAAGATTCAGCAAACAGTAGCTAATTCTGTACAACTCACCGGAATCGGTCTTCATTCCGGCAAGCTTTCTACTGTCACAATCTTACCGGAGTTAGCAGGAGTCGGTAGGTACTTCAAATTCCGTTCAAATGTCATTCCTGCATCTACTGATTACGTCAAGGAGTCTGCATTATGTACTACATTGTGTAAAGATGGACGTTCTATTAATACCGTTGAACACTTGCTTTCTGCTTTGGAGGCTACCGGCGTTGATAATTGCAGTATGCAAATTGAAACCTCTGATACTCACGATTCATCAGTTGAGGTACTGTTTTTAACACTAGCAGCTTTATTATACTTATATTTTAACAGGCAATATTACTTCCATTTCCATTTTAAGAGATTTTAGAATTGGAGGTGAGAAGTACAGACAAAATAGGCATAAACCTATTTCATTCTTACAAGAGATCCCAGACATAGCCACTTAATGCCATGTTGGGCTGTTGTTCCACGCCCATTCATAACAATACTTCTGGCCACTATAAGAGGAGTACAACATTGATATTATAGTGATGATTCTCATTGGAGCTATGAAGGAAAAAGCTATACTAATTACCAACAGCTGGTTTGAGGTTGGAGAAGGGGAATTTCTAACAAATTTACCAATGAACATTACAGTACTCAAAATTCTACTGATAGCAGGGAGACTCCAATCTTCTGCTTTTGGGAGATTAATTGACTCAAAAAACACAATCCCAACAATGTAGATATGCGATACAACACTAACTAGCAACTTCATATGTCCTTTTGACGCAATATAGCCCTTTGTTACTACATACTCCTTGCAAGCTAGTTTTATCCCTATGAAGAGATATGCCAAAGAACCAAGCTACACTATTTCTTGAATTGGCCTCCTCATTTTGAGATCCCGACGGTGTATCCAAATTCCAAGTGTAATTAATCGAAACCACCAATTTGGGCTGTTTCAAAATGCAGTCCATGGCGTTTGTCCAATGAAGGTTTTGTTCAATTCCTTCTCTGTGAATTTGGCCTGCAGCATCTAGAACAACAACTAGTGCATCATCAAAGACATTAGCGGTTATATTGCTGTAAACACATCATCAAAGATTAGTGCATCATCAATAATCATTAAGCACTTCAAATTTAATAAATTCAACAATCTTAGGCGAACACATTATGAGCACTGTAAAGTCAAGTTGTTATCGAATCCTCTTTTTACTACAGTCAAGAGCAGCATACTGAAACAGAGCAGCCCACAAATATTGATCTCTGCCTCTGACATGAACACACTAGAGACCAAATAATAGGAAGAAATTGCACATGCCTCACGCATTGGGCCAAATAAGAGTGATATATGGCATTGTGACTGCAATATATCTGAAACATCTTTTTCTAGTGTTAGTGCCTATGCAAAGTCATTTTCAAGCGAGTCAAAACCAAAACAAGAAAATGTTGCACCTTCACTATCAAATGGCGTCCAAAGACCGTCATCATAACATCTTGCTATTGACATGCCATTAAAATAATAGTCTGTCAAATAGCTTTCAAGTGGCTCTTCTATGACCTTCAGCACACATTTTTTGAAGCATTCATAACCTAGTGATGCACCTTATGTTCATCAGGCAATCGAAGAGCTTAGCAAAGCGTGTCTTTCTCCAAGGGAATACAGTCACCCTTGCTGTCAAAGCCCTGGACTCGGAACATATTCCTGGATTCCAATTAGTTAGTTCTTGCTTGGGAGCAAGCAGATAGCGTATTCTGAATGTTATCCAGTTGATGACGCATTTGAGAGAAATTCTCATCCATTTGCAACAATAGATTAGTAACAGGAGACAGTCTAAGTTTTCTAACAATTTGTCTGGTGTAATGGCAAGCCAATTTCTCTGTGAAATGCTTCCAATCTTAGAACTGTTTATCCGTCAAGTAGTCTGAAGCATTATGTTTATTGTAGTACTAGCCTTATTCCATGTAGTTTTATGTTTTTGATATTTGTTACCTTTTGTTGTTTATTATTTCTAGGTAATTGCACTATTTTATTGTTGTTACTGTTCCTTTTTATGAATGCTTTGGACTACATTCCTTACTGATTGCCATGTTTTCTTCACTGCAGTTCTTCCCCTTTTTTTCTTACTAATAGTATTCCTGGTTAGTTCTTGCTTAGTATCTTCTAGTTTGTCCATTGCTACATGTTTTTTTTGTTGTGTCAATCTTGCCACTTTTCTGTCATTATTTTTGTTATATACTTTTTTCCTTTCTAGTCTGTCTTGATTTCCCATTTTAGTTGTTGTGGGGTATTGTCAAAAATGCTTTGTTTTTCTTTTATTTGAGTCGAAAGTCTATCGGAAATAGCCTGTCTACCCTACAAAGGTAAAAGTAAGGTCTTTGTACATCCTACCCTCCCTAGACCCCACTTGAGGGATTATACTGGGTATGTTATTGTTGTTGAGTCAAGGGTTCTTCAGAAATAGCCCCTCTACCACCACGAGGTAGGCTTAAGATCTGCGTGCACTCTACCCTCACAAATCCCACTTGTGGGATTTCAATGTGTATGTTGTTGTTCATGGAGCTTGAGCACGTGCTGATGTGTGAGTGAGAGATGTGGGAAATATCCATTGGGCCGGGTCCACTCATATAAGGGCTGCTAATTATTCTGTTAGCTCATTAGTTTGTCCTTCTCCTAAATCCTAGCCTATAATGTGTAAATACACCATTATGAGTGTTGAAAGAACAAGGATTTTCCACATTAGTATGACGGGTAGGGTTAGCTATCCAATACAGAAAACGCTCTGTATCTATTGAGGATATCTTTGTTATGGTGACTGGCAAAAGGAAGTTTATCTGCTTTGTGAGGATTTTCAACCGCTGGTGACATAAGTCGTGGTTGCTGTAGATCCGCTTCCGCTTTGGAGAAACTTATAAGTCCTTCTAACTAGTATCATAATTCAAATACTACAAGGATATTAATGGAATCCCCCTTCGAAACGGAATCTTCAGATCTGTTTAACTTGGCTGGCAAAACTAAGGGTTCCATAGCTTATTGTAAAACAAGACAGGGAAACTATACTTTTAGAAGAAATTTTAAGGATTAGGAGATTGATAGACTTTTCTTTTTTAGTATGAAAGTGGTAAGTGTTCAAGGACCTCCTACTATGAGGACCTGATTTATGTGATGCTGGTGCAAGCAAATGTGGTACTTCTTCAGTCAGCTCCTACCATGATTTACTATAAACATAGGTGATCCCCTATAGTATTGGCCTTTGGTGATGCTCAAACACGAGTCACATAAATATTTAAGAAAAGGGGTATGTTCAAGCGGAATCAATGTTGTATTTGCCAAAGATAGAATACCGATATTTCTCATTGTTGATGTGATAACACAGCACCTCTTGGAACATGCCCCTCATAATGTGTGATGTCAAGTGAGTAATTCCAAGATCTTTGAATGAGGCTCTTTGAAGCTGGCCAGGAAGGACTATCAATAAACAGATTATAAAGATTGGAACACTTGTATTTTTTTGGTAAGCCCATTGTACCATAGTCTGCACCTTCTTGGTGCTTCTTCTATTTTAATGAGATTGTTGAATTACTTGAAGAAGCTTAAGTTGTGGTTGTATTAGTCTAAGTCCATTAACAATAATTTGATGGTAGAATTTCCTTATTTTGACCACCAAAGTCAACTTGGGTGGTAAATTTGGAAGATGGAGTATTTATAGGTTAGATTTACATACTATATTTAAAAAAAATATAGGTTATCCAGATTCCTTAGGGGCTGTAATTTTGCTTTTAACTTATACATTTTTTTCTTTTGTCAGTCTTAGCAATTACTCATGAAAATTATGGTGTGCAAATATCTTTATTTGACTAGATGAAGGGCAGTATCAAAAATAATATTCGGGTAACTGAGCCAGGTTCCTATTCTGGATGGATCAGCAAGAGAATGGGTGGACGCAATTGAAGAAGCTGGGCTGAAGGCAGCATTAGATCGTAGCGGTAATAGCTGTGAGAAATTAGCTCCTGTTCTTAGAGAACCTGTTACTGTATGGAAAAATGATTCTTTTATAGCTGCATTCCCTTATTCAGAGGTCAAGATTACCTATGGCATCGACTTTCCACGGGTAAATTTCTGGGAGTTTGTCTGCTATGCTATTCTTTGTTTTTGTGCACATCGATAGACAATGGTTTGAAAATCTTCATGCATTTAGCTGATCACTTTAATTGCCTGACATAGTGTAGGGGTTTCTTTGCTAATATTCTTTATTGAATTTGAACTCGTGGCTGTGATACCTGTGCTAAACTTGGCTGTCAGGTGAGCAGCAATTGATTGTGTGGCAAACAGCTTCATGGTCAAGACCACTATTAATTAACTGAGACCATAGGTGGAGCATTTTCTTTCAGCTAAAAACTATGACATGCTGAGTTACCAAGATTAGGCAAATTATTTCTTATCAAAAAGTCTTTTAAATGGATTCGATTGGCTTGACTGCCTGCAGGCACCCGAAATTGGCTGTCAGTGGTTCTCTTCAACCTGTCTGGATAAAGATTTCTTTGCCAAAGAACTAGCTTCTGCAAGAACCTTTTGCATTTATGAACAGGTAACTTCCAATCTTTTTATTTAAATGTTATCTCAGCTCACTTTTTTTCTGTATTAGAACTTCACTATGAGATCACAATCTAGCTTTGGCGACAAGCACTTTCTAATAATTTATTCATAATGGACTTATTTTGATATGCCATCTGTGGACTAGGCATAGAGATAGTATGTTTTTTGACGTGTTTCTTGCCTTGGTACCTGGTCAGTGAAATTACTAATGTAGTAGTCCTGAGAGGTTCTTTTTGATGAATATGTTACATCATGATTTGAAGCTGAGCCTGTAAATGAATTTGAATCCTTGAAATATGTAGTAGCACCGATAGTTGGATATCTGGTCTTGTTTATAGAAGAGTGTCATGGTTGAGCATGTTTTGTGACATCCCAAAGTGGGACCTCATGGATCCTTTTTCAGCACTTGAGCTGTCTTAGAGGTGTTCAAAAATAGTAGTCTGTAAAAGAAAAACTTGACATCCTGAGTTGTGTTTCATGATTTAAAATCATTGTGAATTGACATAGCTTAATTCCTGCTTTCTCCTCTTGCATTTATTTCTTTTGTCAAAGAACTGGACCTTGGGTCTAACTCAACCCCAAGAGCTAGCTCAAGAGGTGAGGATTGCCAAGACAATACGAAGAGACCAAGTAACCCTATCAAGACTGACGTGGGACTCAACACCACCTGGCATGCCCAGGACTGGACATCCAGAGCTTGGACAATATAAGATGGAGGTCCAACATGGGGTACACAATGAGTTGGATGGGCTAGACTCTAATACCATGTTAGATAAATAAATGTTCGGCCTAACTCAACCTCGAAAGCTAACTCAAGAGGTGAAGTTTGCCCAAGAAGTCCAACATAACTGATAACTCATCATTCATGTTGTTATGTTTATGACATATTTATATTATTTAGATCTCTAATATTTATGCTGAATTAATATCCAGGTTGAACAGCTACGCAAATCAGGAGTTATCAAGGGGGGTTCCGCCAAAAACGCTATTGTTTGTAGGTTAGAGACACTTCTTTTTTAATTTTATTTGGAAGAATGCTGGAAAATATAATTAGGTAACATCTATGTTATCCAACTTTCTGGAAAGCTTAAGATATATTTGATTGGGAATAGATAGTATCACCTAAGGATGCATGGCATGTCTCGTTGTAGCATCAGATATAACATGCCTCCTAGGGTGCTGCCCCATATGAAAATTCACCACCACTAACAATATGAGCACACTATGTTTTCTACAAGATGTATTTTCTTGATTTTAACCTCACGTATGATATCTCCTCTTCTACAGTGAAAGTAGAGGCTGGCTGAATCCACCACTGCGTTTTAGTGATGAACCTTGCAGACACAAGGTATTAGATCTTATAGGTGATCTTTCTCTTTTGGCGCACGGTGGTAACCAAGGTCTTCCTGTGGCACACATTATTGTGTATAAGGTTTGTTTCTTTGTCTTTCAATTATTTAGTTTTTCTGTTTAACGGTGATGGACCATAGAAAGGATTGTCTAGCACAGAATTTGACGTTCTCTTGTTTAAGCCTTATTCTCACGGAGATTTGAGCTTTCTATATTGGCATGGGGAGCTTTCTAATGTCACTGCTTACTATTTCTCAGTATAGCAAAGGTTGTTAGTTCTGCTTCAGTAGAGAAGTGTTACAATTTGGTAACAATCTTTTAATTGATAAAATTGACCTGCTCATGTACACAGGGTGGACATGCACTGCATTCGAATTTCGCTCACCGCTTATCGGGAATCAACTGAGGTAGATTTGGTTATCAAGCTATTGTTGTTCTTCGAGTCCTGCAACTAGTTGGCTATTTGTGAACCAGAGTTACTCGACCCAAGTTTTGACAACTAAAATGCTAATGGACTTTGGCAAAAGGACTTATGAATCGATGTTCCATCCTTCACAGTCATTATATCGATGTGGATTGCCTCGTAACATCTATTTAATAAGACAACATAAAGCCATTGAACGGTTCGAAAACATTTCTAATTCGTAGTCTAATTAGACAATATCTTGCTTCGAGTTTATTATACTCAATTGCATGTTATATTGTCGCAAGATGTTGTTTACACGATCTAATCGTATCCTATGATCAAGTCAAAATAATAATATTCTCTCTGTTTAAAAAACAATGATTTTATTTCCTTTTTAGTCTGTTTAAAAAAGAATGATCTCTTTCTTTTTTTTGGTAACAAACTTTTCAGGTGGCATGTTTACTACCACAAGAGTAAAGGATAATTTTTCATACATTTCACATAACTTTAACTTAGGACCGAATGATCAAAAGTTTTATTTATTTTCTTAAACTCCATGCTTCATCAAATTAGACCATTTTTTATGAAACGGAGGGAATACTCTTATCGTCAAACTCGATGTGATGTTTGTCTTACCAGACAAATCTATGTGGATCTATGGACCCAAAGAAAGCAATAATGACTTTGGGCTTTGACACCTTTCTACTCTATAACACAAACACCGAATAAATAAAGGATTTTACTTGTCGTTTCATTATATTTAAAGACAATAATAAATATGAATATTTATAACTAGTACTTTATTTAAATGCGAGTAAAAACTTTATTATTATCACTAAAAGAAAAATCTATTGCCACTCTAGGTATAATTCTTTTGGTCTTGTACTTTTATATTGCATCTTTTATTGAACATAGCTTATAGTACAACTCTATTCTAATTCACATGTAATCTTGTCCATAAGAACCAAATATCGACAAGTCTAAATAATTATTTTCTCAACATGTCTTTGTTACACAACAAAGAAAAAGAAATGATTAATATACTTTAATTAGCTTGAACAACCATCATGCCCTAATGTACTAGCACTTAATATTATCAAGTATAAACTAAACATGATTCCTTCGATATTAAATGTTTTTAGATTTTATCGAGCTTTAATGCAGAAATCAAATTATTGAATAATTGCATGATTGGGTAGGTGAATAAAAATATGTTATATTATTATAGTGTCTTAGGTTTGGTAATTTAGTTATCCACATATATAATATAGTTTTAGGAGGCAGATTACATGCACTAACACTAATATAATTAAAATACAAATCCTACTTTGTCTTTCAACCATCTCTCTGGCCTTTCATCTATCAAATGAACAAATAATACAAAACTATAAGCCTATATATATATATATATATTGGCCTAGTGTCATTTTCTTAACAAACGTTTGGAATAGGGCCACTCCCACAAATGCTCATTCCTCTAATTTTTAATATTTAACGATAAAAATTAAAGACCATTTTAAAATAGAAATAATTCATATAAAAATTTGTTTCGAATGATGAAGATGAGTTATAAGATTAATCGGATCCAAGTCCAAAGATGTTCAGTTTTGGGATCACTACTTAAATCATATTCATAATGCGTAAATTTTTAAAATATATTTATTGTAAAATAATTTTAAATATAGTATTTGAAATTTCATATGGTCGAAATTTAGGTACATATATACAAGTAAAGTTCAACTATTTGTATCTGAAATTAAATCATATATTGCTGACTTCGTACGCTGCCTCCCAATTCTCAACCCCGACCTACACGAGTGGTATTTTAACTCATATTTAGAAAAGTTCTGTCAAATTTTTAATAGCAATCATCAATCTTTTCTTTTTTTTCTTCACATAGTTTTTTATCTATAAAAAGTATTACGACTTTGTACGATCCATTCTGATATGGTTAGGTTTTGAATTCTGATTTTTTTTGGGTCTAAATATTAGATATAAGTGTTTGAACTTTAACCAAATATAATTTCAAATACCACTATTTAAAACTTATTCTAAAGTAAATAGATAAGATTTTTATATATATAAATTATATAGCAATGTCCAAATAAATACCACATAGAATTTTTAGGATTAATCATGAAGTTTAGAAAGTTGATCCAACAATTAATAAATACTTTTTAAAATGAGTCAAAATTTGTGGCCCTCCTCAAGTGAACTTTCCTCTATCTTGGATTAGATAGGGTTAGCACGCAACAAACATTATTAATTAATTGTATCCTAATCTCTTGACCAAATCATTACAAAAAATAAAATAAAATTGGAATGTTTTCACAAGTGACCTTCTTTTAGGTTACTATTTAAACTCTAACCTCATTAGTTAATTAAGTAGATTACATAATAGATTAACTCTTCATGTGTAATTCTTCAAAATGAAAAATAATAAAAAAGGGATCACTAGGGATGAAATGGGTTTGTGACTAGCCAAGCAAGAATTTAATCATAAAAGATAGTTTCTAAGAAAGATAGTTTTATGATTTCAACCAGGAGAAGACTCGATTAGGCTATTTCCAAGAGAGATAGTTTCAGGTATGTTGGATGTTTAATCCCAGTGGAAACATCGATGATGAAGTCAGTTATCATATTAGTGCGGTGTGGTTGAAGTATAGGCTTATCTTCAAGGTCTTGTATGATAAATAGGCACAATCTAAACTTAAAGGTAAGTTTTATAAAATAGTGGTTAGAATGACTTTGTTGTACAGAGCCTAGTGTTGGACAACTAGGAAATTTCATGTTCAGAAGATGCAAGTAGCTGAAATACAGATGCTAAAATGAATGTGTGGGCATACTAGGTGTTATAAGATTAGAAATGAGGATTCGGAAAAAGGTAGAGTGACCTCTCCGTGGTAGACAAGATGAGAAAAGCGGAGGCTGAGAAGGTTTGGGCATGTGAAGAGGAGCAGCGTGAATGTCACAATGAGGAGGTGCGAGATGTTGAATATAGTGGATACGAAGAGAGGTAAAACTAGACCCAAAAAGTATTGGGAAGAAGTGATTAGGTATGACATGACACAGGTTCATCTTACTAAGGACATGCATGATTAGATATAAGGATGTGGCGGTCACATATTAGGAATAAGATTAGTAAGTACCGGAACTGAAGTATTACCTATCATAGTATTAGCCCTATTCTTATAGTGTATTGCTTTTGAATTTCATTCATCATATGTTGTCTATTGTATTTTTTTTATTCACTATCGTTGATGCTATTTTTAATTAGTTATACATTATTTATGTTCGTTTTTACTATTTACACCTGTTTCGATTTGTACTTGTGTCACCCAAAAATAATCTCTCCACCATACCTATTTTGATTTGTACTTGTGTTCCCAAAATCATCACTCTACAAGATAGAAATAAAATCTGCATACATTCTATCTTTTCTGAATCACACTTGTAAACACTCGTTAATTATTATTACTATACGTCTATACTCTCATACATTAAGAGCAAAATTTTCAATAGCACAACTAATACAATAGTAATAACATCAAAGATCGACCTTTCATCAAAATTTAAATAGATTTTCAAAAAGTGCTATAAATAGAATCATAATAATATTAAAAATTGACCTCAATAAAATTGAAAATTAAAATCTAGATACATCATATATTTGTTTAACTTCAACTACATCATCTAATGAAGTATCTTAACTAAACATATTCTCAAAAAGACAAGAGACAAATAAACAGGATATCCTGTTCTACATGCCAATGCCAATGATCTTGAAGATCAATCATCAATCTTGTAAACTCTTTCTTCATTTTATCATAAATATATAAATAATTATCCACTTTTTGACATTCAAAACAAGATAATATCATTTATTGTGACTTTTATGAAAAAAAACGATGGGTTGCAAATTTTATGAAAATTGTGACTCTTATGAAAGATTGTGACCTTAGCAACAAAAATTCTTAATCTTTAATAAACTTTATACTTTACAATATTAAAAAACACTATTTTTTTCATTGAAATTTTCTATTGAAAAATATTCAATGGCTATTTCTATAGATATTCTAATTAAACAGGAGAGAGAGAAAAAATAGTATAAAAATTTTCACACAAAAAAAGGTAAAAACTCTCAGTTTATCATAAGAATCTGATTCATATAAAGTGTTTTCTCGATAAGATAATTCAATGAGAAATGAATGAAAAGTGTAAATTCTTCATTGATTCGCGATGAAAATCTCGTTTAATATGCACAATTATATACTAATAGGCTTGATACTTCAGGACTTTGAACAAAGAAAAATGCAATTGTGAAAAAAGCAAAGAAAATTCTTCAAAAAATTATCTTATGACATGATGATATAATATGTATCATGCACATAATCTTTAAAATATTATAATGATACTTTAGATTGATATACACGTTACTTAATTTTCTAATTTTTTTGTTAGACAAGATAATTAATTATGATTTGGTCCACCATCAAATCTAAGTAGGACGACAAGAGTAGAATTCAATTACAACTTGTATATCTTGTTAAGATATCCTTCTAGGCTTTACTAATCAAGGAAGGTGATAGGATAGTTCCTCTAAAAATCAATTTTACTTGAAAGAAACATATAAATTATAATTTGGAAACTTTAGGTTTAAAAGAATTGTGTTTGGATGAAATTTTGATAAATATTTCTTTCCAGATAAACACGTTTCGTTAAAACGAGGAAAATGACTTTCTTGTATAACCATCAATCCTGCCCTAAGGCCCCACTCCCATTCCCTCCTACTCTCACCCTAAGATATTGTGTTAAATTACGTACATACTCTTCTGATGATGTATTTTTACAGTAAAAGGGGTTTGAAAAATTTTCTAACTTTGGTTGAAATTGATGTTACGATATCAAACTTCATGGAGGACCTTATACCCCTTACACTTTTTAAAAGTGCATTTTAAAGGTATATATGTGTCCACGTGGACACATTACTATTTAAAATGTTTATGATGTCCACGTGAATACATATATATCTTTAAAATACATTATTTAATAGCACAGGGGCATGAAAGGTCCTACATAAACTTCGAGATCGTAACAACAATTTTGGTTAAAGTTCAGATATATCTCAAACATTTTTTTTTATTTTTACTTACTTACCAAACACTAGAAAAATATAAATAAAAAACACAACTTAGTCTATGTGTTATTTGAAGCAACTGATAAAGTTAAAAGAGTTAAAAGATGAGGTACATCGATAACTTCTAAAAATTTATAATAAATTTTATCAGATATTCGAATTATAATTTATTTCCGAAAAAAACAACAAGTAATATGGATGGAGACGGAACCGACTTGTGTAATTTGTGGCTCTTTTT